TTACCACTGGACTGGCATCATGATGGATGGAGAGGAGATTGAAACTGTCAACAGCTTCATCTTGCTTGGGTCCACAATTTACACCATTGGTACCAGTAGTCAGGAAATAAGGAGACACAGCACTGGGAAAATTTGCAGTTAGTGACCTCTCCAAATGTTTGAAGAGTAATGATGTCAGTTTGATGACTAAGGTGTGTCTGATTCAGGCTGTAGTCTTTCCGATTACTTGCTATGCATCTGAGAGCTGTAGAGTGAATAAGAATGACAGAAGAATTGATGCCTTTGAGCTGTAGTATTGGAAAATAGAACTGAACAGCCCATGGATGGCCAGGAGAATTAACAGGTATGTCTTGAGAGGGTGTAGCTGGAGTGCTCTTTGAAGGCAGGAATGATGAGGCTTCATCTCACATACTTTGGACTTGTTGCTAGGAGGGGTTATTCCTTGGAGAAGGACATGATTCTGGGAATGGTGGTGGGTCCACAAAGGAGAGGAAGACCCTCAATCAAGTGGACTCTGCAGTGAGCTCTTGTGTGTCAGGAAGTGTGAGGCTGCATGGCATAGGCTAGAACAGGTTTCAAATCTTTTGTTCATAGAGTTGCTATGAGTCATACTCGACTCAGTGACACTTAAGAACAGCAACATGCAACGATCTGGAGTTAGATAACCAAAGGGACATTCTCTTCATTTCTAAAGTTGAAAGAACTGAAGAACAAGCTCAACCCTTGAGTTGCAATACTGAAGACTTCGGTGAGCATCAGACCTTATGTTGTTCTGTGCCGTTGAGTTGAGTCAGAGCCAACTCAGAGGTGACCCTCCTGCCCCTCCTGCCAGGTTCCATAGACTGTGAATTTTATCAGATGAGACAGCCCATCTTTCTCATGTGGAGCAGCTGGTGGATTTGAACCACATGCTTTGGGTTGGTGGCACAGCTCTTCCACTAGTACTTCGCCACACAGTATACCCGGTTTTCAAATCACTGGATTCACTGGATTCCCTTTAGCCTTAGCATTCCCCTTTACCAAACTTCGCTGTTGGTGGGTTGGGTTTTTTGTTTGTTTGGTTGGTTGGTTGGTTGGTTTTGTTTGGTTTTGATTTGTTTGTTGGTTTGGTTTTTTTTGCTGAGGCTGTCCTATCTTTGGACCTGTAGTCTGCATACCCCTCATAAGTACCTGAAATTAAGAAATGGCATAGCTTTCAGCAGTCATACTAAAAAGGATTAGTGGCAGAAGGTGAGAATTCATGATTCATTTTTCATTGTCAATGTACTGAATTTCATCATTAATGATAATTGTTTAATAAGAGAGAACCAGTTATTGGGTGCCCTTGGCCTTTCAACAACCTACCTTGCTGAACAATTATAATTCCATTAATTAATGGAAATGAGATTTATTTAAAACCGAATTTTAACAAATCCCTCCCCCCCGAAAGAAACTTTCATTCAATCTACAAATGTGTTTTGAGCGCCTTATTAGTACCAGGTACTAAATGAGGTACTAAGGATGCAATGATAAGTAAAACAAACACATCATCATGCTTGAAAGCTTATGATTTGCGTGAAGGTGAGCCAACTTCAGACATGCAGCTGTTGTTGTTTGATTCCAACTCATAATTAGCCTATAGGACAGAGTAGAACTAGTTTCTTAGACTATAATCTTTATGAGAACAGATTGTCATATATGCTGTGTAGCTCCTGGTATATTTGAACCACAAACCTTTCATTTAGCTGCTGAGCACTTGACTGTTGTATCACAAAAGATACTCAAAAGCGTTGTCTTTAGGAAAAGCGTAGAGATGTGATTTTGTTTGAATTAAGGGTAAAATAAAATTTCCCTGTAGAAGCAATAAGACAGCATTCTAAGAGATGAGCAGAAATAACTGAAATAAGTAGTGTTGTTATTGTTGTGTACCATTGAGTCAGAATTGACCCATAGCTGACCTTGCAGCAGATGTATTTTTCATCTAAAATGTCAAAATTCCAACTTTTCCACAAATATGGATTAAGCCAGAAAAAAAAGAAAGAGCAGGTTTAAATCTAGATTTACAGAAACCAGTTATTCCAAACGTATTAAATAGCATTAAGCGTCAAAGAATCTCAGGATACTTGCACAGTACACTACACAAGATGAATAAAGCTCTGAGTGGCTTGGGGTTTTTCCCCCCACTGTCTACATTCACAAAGACTTAAATTTCTGGTTTTCACTACTTGAGAAAACAAACTGAAGAGTTTCAGGAAGCATGGTGCGTTTCACAGGAGTGGCAAGGACAGGATATATGTAGTTATTATACTCCATGAGTCTTGGATTTTGCTCTCATTAGATTTTGTTTGGTGTTTCTGAATTGATGTTTAGTTTCTTACTCAGTTTTTTAGTATGAAAGCCATTAAAACACACCTATGGCTGTTTTTAAAAGACATAACTTTAAAATATCATCATCTAGGTATTCCTTATAGTATTTATTTAATATAACAAAGCAAAGATGGTCTGAGACTAAACAACAGAAGTTAGATGACCTGGAAGCCTATCTCCAAAAGGATAGTTGGCTTTTATAACTCATCTAAACTATAGAACACAGAACATGATTTGAGTAACAATTTTCTCACTTACTCTGAAGATTATGCATTTGTAGTTCTGGTCTAGATGCAAAGGGGAAGAGGTAGTTTATTAATCATTGGATGCCTTGAGTTATTAGAGATTAATTCTCTCTCTGAACTCCAAAGAGCATTTGCTTGTGTGTTCAGTCTTCGGAAATATACTGAAAACATTTTCATATGAGATTCTGAAAAGCAATAGTACTCATACTTTGCTGTCAAGTCAGCGAGTTTTCAGAGACTGTACTTTGCATGGGGAATGATTACCCACCATTCTCCATGGTTTCTCACTGCTAGATTTACCTTAGTAAATCCCCAGTGAGTCCCTCCAATAAGCCACCAGAGCTCCCTTCCGATAGTACACTGGAAGATGGAAAAACAAAATTACACAGATCCACTGCCAATGAGTCAATTCTGCCTCTTGTTACTTCCATCATGTTTCCAGGACTGTAAATCCTTATAAAAGAAAAATGTCTCATCTTTTTATTGTGAAGCAGCTGGTGGAATCAAACCATGGAACACTTAGTAACTTAATGAGTTAATAGGCCACTAGGGCTCCTTTTGTGTATAATTCTTGTATATCATTTGTACAAATGTCCTGGAAAGCAGAGAGTACTGGAAGAATGTCTGTGTTTCATTGACTATGCAAAGACATTTGACTGTGTGAATGACAGCAAATTGTGGCTAACCTTGAGGAAAATGAGAATCCCAGAACACTTGATTGTGCTTATGCAAAACCTATACTTGGACCAGGAAGCAGTTCTCAGAACAGAGGAGAGAAACACTGCATGGTTCAAAATTAGGAAAGGAGTCAATCAGGGATGCATCCTGTCTCCATACCTTTTCAGTCTATATACAGAGCAGATCATTCAGGAAGCAAGGCTTTATGAGGAGGAATGTGGCATCAGGATTGGAAGAACACGCATCAATAACTTACGTTATGCAGATAACACAACCTTGCTTGCTGAAACTGAGGAGGACATGAGGCATTTGTTGCAGAAGATCAAGGACTGTAGTCTTCAATATGGATTGAAGCTCAACATCAAGAAGACAAAGATTCTCACCACTGGGTCAATTGGCAGCACCATGATAGATGGAGAAGAGATTGAGGTTGTTAACAATTACAGCTTGCTCAGCTCCACAATCAACACTCTTAGCACCAGCAGACAGGCTATCAAAAGAGGAATTGCATTGGTAAAATCTACTGTCAGGGACTTCTCCAGAATGCTGAAAAGCAACGATGTTGGTTTAGAGACTAAGGTGCACCTAGTCCAGGCCATGAGCTGGACAATGACTAAGAATGATAGAAAAAGAAACTATGCCTTCGAATTTTGCCGCTGGAGAAGAGTCTTGAACATATGATGGACCACCAAGAAATAATGAGGTCTGTCTTGGAGAGGGTGAAACCAAGTTTCTTCTTGGAGGCTAAGATTTTTAAGTTCTATCTCATATACTTTGGGCATGTGACCAGGAGAGACCGTTTCTTGGAGAAGGACATCATGCTCAGAAGAGTGGATTAACAGCACAGGAGAGGAAAACCCTGGATGAGATGGATTGATACAGTAACTTGGGCAATAGGGGTTGATGTGTCAGAATTAATTAGCCTGGCTCAGCACAAAGCAGATTTCAGAGCTGCTATACATAGCGTCACTATGGGTTGCAGGTGACTCAGTGGCACATAATAACAATAAACAACAGATATCCTTGTGTTTCATTTTCTTTCCTTTCATCTCAGGGCAAATATATTGCCATCATCTTGGAATCCGCTCATAATGACCCTACACTGGGTTTCCCAGGCTGTACCTTGTGTGGAAGGACACTGCCCATTTTTGTCCCACAGAGCTCCTGAGGGATTTAAACCAGCAAAGCAGTGCACAGCCTTTGGGTTAGCTGCAGAGCTAGCTAAAGAACAAGCTTCCAGAGCTTCTTTGTCTTTATAAAGCCTTTTGAAAGACTACTTGTAACTTAGTATATAAATCAGAGGTAACTTTACTTACAGCATTAATATTTTGTATGTATTGTAATGACAGAAGGGTAAAAGAAAACAGTTTTATGCTTGCTAATAAAGTTTTTTCTATTGGAATTTAAAGTACTACAGCAGGTGTTGCATAAAATTGTAATTTTTCATAATTCTGGTTTTCCTTAATTTTACACTGTAATATAGGATAATTCTTTTGTAAAGAAGGCAAATTATAAAGTTAATTTCTTACATAGATCTGATTTGATGGTACATACACAAAATAATAATTTTTAAAAGTAAAATAAAAAACTAATTTCTTACATAGATATTTTTTTATCTAAACATTTCTATTACTCTGACAATACAATGAACAAGTCCTTTTTTATGTATCATTGGTCAGTATAGTTCCTGCTATAAAAGAAAATTCTCTGGGTGTTTTTTTTTTACTATAGATAAGTACAATGGAACATGAATTTTCCATAAAGGAGCATGGATTCGAAGTTCGATTGAAAGAGATGGAAGATAGTAATAGAAATTCTACTGTTGAATTGCAGCATCTCTTAATGACTCAACAGAAGGCAACCAACAGGTGGAAAGAAGAAACAAAGAAACTTACTGAAAGTGCAGAAATTAGAATTAGTAATCTAAAGTAAGTCTACTAATAATTATTTAACTTATTTTACAGGAAAATTGTTTCATTTTAGTTTAATATCCTTGCTGGAATCTGTTTATTAAAAATATAATTCTGAGGGGAGCTCTGGTGGCCTAGTGGCAAGGAGCTGCAACTACAATCCCAGAGTTCCACAGTTCAAATCCACCAGATGCTCTGCCGGGGAAGGAGGGACAGTCTCCTCCTGTACCAGTCAGATCTGATTTGACAGTACACTCACACAAAAATAATAAAAATTTTTTAAAAAAAGTTTAAAAAATATAATTCTGGACCTTGCATTTATTTTTTCATTCAGCACTTATTTATCAAGTACTGTGAAAATATATTTGAGTCTCTGGATAATGCAAATGGTTAACACACTAAGTTGCTAACCAAAAGGTTTGCATGTATGCAGAAGCACCTTAGAAAAAGGCTTAACAATCTACTTTAGAAAAACCAACCACTGAAAACTTTATGCAGCATTTCAGTGACATATGGGGTCACCATGACCCACATTCAGTAATGACGACTGGTTTTTGTGAACGCTATTAATTATCCTAAACCAAAACTTAATAGCGTGTATTTTTTTTTTTTAATTTTATGCCTATTCTACAACATAATAGAAATTTTTACTGGACTTAGCAGCTTAGAATCTTATTACTATTTACATATATATTTGATGTAGATGGATTGATACAGAAACTGGGGCAATGGGGTTTGTTGTGTCGAATTAATGAAACTGACTCAGGATAGGACAGGGTTCAGAGCTGCTGTACATAAGGTCACTATAGGTCACAGGCAACTCAATGACACATAACAACAACAACACAACATGATGTTTTATCAGGGAATGTTAGTGGCTTAATGATAAGGACTTGTGCTGCCAGCCTGAAGGCAGGAGTTTAAAATCTACCAGCTGCTCCATGGGAGAAAGATGGGTAAACTCCTCCCTTGTGATGTACGGCCTCTAAAAACCTGCTGGAGAGTCAGCTATGAGTCAGTTCTGACTTAACAGAACATTACTAACGTTTTATCATTTTTTAAGGAGGGACCAGTCCTTGGACAGGGACATCATGCTTGGTAGAGTGAAGGGACAGCACAGGAGGGGAAGGCCCTCTATGAGGTAGATTGATTCAGTGACTGGGGTAATCGGGACAGTGTATCAGAGATAGTGCAATTGGCACAGGACAGAGCAGAGTTTGGGGCTGTTGTATATAGGGTCGCTATGAGTCGCAAGCGACTTGACGGCACATAACAATAACAACCACAGCCTCTGGGATTGTAGTATAGCTTCTTGCCACTAGGCCACCAGAGCTCCCTTAAGATGCTGCTGTCTTAAAAAAAAACAAAAACCAAGCAACCAAAAACCAAAACACCTTCCTAGGTCTTATGCCATCCTTATAACTTCAGCTTAAACCCATTGTGGACTCACTATGTGTGATTTATGCTGTTAGTTTAAAATGGCTTTCCTAGAACATTGCCTTTGGCTTTTGCTACATCTCTAAGTGGGACTGTGTTAATATTGTAAATAATACCTGTTGGGTGGGAATATGCAAACAAGGTATATAGGCTATTATATTAACCTGTCATACTTAAAATGAGCAGGTTAAGAGACTGAAAATAGGAACCTTGCTACCAGAAAGAAAGAAGAATTAGAGTCCAGTTTGCATATTGTTGGACCAAGATTTCCTGCGCATCTCACATGAGGACCTGGACAAGAGTTGCAGCAACATCAGAAACCAAACACTGACATAGCATTGTAACTGGCAGGAGTAAAGAAACTTTTCTACCACTGAGTTAAAGCCACAAGGGTGACAGTCAAAGGGCCTGTAAGCACACCTGAGAAGTTGTCTTGAATAAAGAATTATATCCTGTTTCAAATATGAATTGTAATCTGTTAACTTCCTTATTGTTATGTTGACTCCAACTTATAGAGACCCTATGTACAACAGCTTTCTTGAGCCTATTTCACTGACTCTGACACACCTACCCTCATTACCACAGTCACTGAGTCAATCTGTCTCATCCAGAGTCATCCTCTCTTGCGCAGTGCCTCCACCTTTCCAAGCATGATCTCCCTGTCCAAGCACTGGTCCCTGCTTACAATAAGCCCAAAGTAGGTCAGATAAAGCTTCAAAATCCTTGCCTTCAAGGATCAGCCTGGTTTCACCATCTCCAGGGCACATCTTAGTAGTCCATAGTATATTCAGTACTCTTCTCTAGCACCACGCCTTAAAGGCAATTATTCTTTTTCTGTCATCCTTAGTCTTTGTCCAGTTCTCTAATGCATAACAAATAATAATAATAATAATAATAATAATAATAATAATAATAATAAATAAAAGACCATGGCCTGGATCAGGTGTACCTTAGTCTCTAGACTGACATCATTGCTCTTAATTACTCTGGAGAGGTCCCTGACAGCATATTTTCCCAATGCAATTTATCTTTTGATTTCCTGGCTACTGATACCAAGAGTGTTGGTTGTAGACCCAAGCAAGCTGAAGCTGTTAACAGTCTCAGTCTTTTCACTGCCTATCAAAGGATGCTGCCTTTGGGCCCAGGGTGAGAATCTTTATTTTCTTGATGTTGAACTTTAATGCAGCAAATGCCTAAGCAGCAAATGCCTAAGGCTCTCCTCAGTTTCAGCAAACAGGGTTGTGTCATCTGCATAGTGCAGGTTATTGATACATCTTCCTCCAATCCTGATGTCACATTTCTCCTCGTAGAGCCCAGCCTATGACCTGTTCTGCATATAGATTGAAAAGTTATGGAGATATGATGCATCCCTGACATATACCTTTCCTGATTGTGAGCCATTCAGTCTTTCCTTGTTCTGATCTGATGACTGCTTCCTGGGCCAAGTATAGTTTTCACATTAGCACAATTAAGTGTCCTGGGATTCCCGTTTTTCTTGGAATTAGCCACAGTTTGTTGTGATCCACACAGTCAAATGGCTTTGCATAGTCAATGAAACACAGGTAGACATTCCTCTGCTGCTCTTTGCTTTCAGTTGAGATCCATATAATATTGGCTTAAGAGCAATGGTGTCAGTCTAGAGACTAAGGTACACCTGATCCAGGCCATGGTCTTTGCGTTTACTTGCATCAGAGAGCTGGACAGTGACTAAGGATGATAGATGAGGAATCAATGCCTTTGAGTAGTGGTTCCAGATGAGAGTATTGAATATACCATGGACTGTGAGGAGAACAAATACGTTCATCCTGGAGAGAGTGAAACCAGGCTGCCCCTTAGAGGTAAGGATTTAGAAGCTTCATCTAATACTTTAGGCATGTTGCAAGGAGAAACTAGTCCTTGGAGAAGGACATCATGCTTGAAAGGGTGGCAGGACGGTGCAAGCGAGGAAGCTCTTATTGAATTAAAGTTAACCTTCCTTAGTAAACCTAAATTTACTAAGTTTAGGAAACCTGTTTAATAAAGAGTGAACTGAGGAAAAAAAGGTTCACTCTCTTAGTAAACCTCATGACATCATAACCATGTGAACTCTGTGTGGCCATTGCAATGAATTATTGATTAATTTAGCAATGAGAGCCCTGTGTGGGACATTCTGCGTTAAAATTAGTAAAAGTAGGTGTCAGAAGTGTGTAGTTCAGTTTCAACCTCCCCAGTGCTGCCTAGACTCTACACAATATTAATCCATCACATTAAGGGCTTTCCTCTCTCTGATCCTCTGCCTTTCTAGGCATGATGTCCTTTTCCAAGGCTAGCCCCTCCTGACCGCATGCCCAGAGTATATGAGACAAAAATCTTATCATCCAAGCTTGTAAAGCACATTCTGAATGCACTTCTAAAACATGTTTTTTTTTCCTTTTGGCAGTTCACAATATATGTAATATTCTTGCCAACAGCACTATTCAATGACGTTAATTCATCTTCATTCTTCCTTATTCATTGTCCAACTTTGATGTGTTTATACAGCAATTGAAAATACTATAACTCAGATAGAGGAACTTTAGTCTTTAAAATCACATACTTGATCCTTTAACACTTTAAGGAATCCTTGATAGTGTATTTTCCAATGCAACATATCATTTCATTTATTAACTGCTGTAGTCCTGAATGTCACAACCTTGCTTGCTGAAAGTGACAGAACTTGAACCACTTGCTGCAGAGGATCAAATACTACAGCCTTCAATATGGGTTACAGCTAAACATCAAAAAAGAAAAATCCTTACCACTGGCCAAATAGGCATTATTATGATGGATAGGGAAGAGATAGAAATTGTCAATTATATCTTCTTGATTGGATCCACAATCAACACCTTTGGCACTAGCAATCAGACAACCAAAAGACATATTGCATTGGGAAAGTCTGCTGTCAGGGACTTCTTCAGAGTGCTGAAGAGCAATGATGCCAGTTTGAAGACTAACGTGCACCTGATCCAAACTATGGTCTTTTCAATTACTTGCCATGCAGCTGAAAGTTACATATTGAATAAGGATGACAGAATCAATACCTTTGAGTTGTGTTATTTAAGAAGAGTGTTGACTATTGCAGGCACTGCCAAAAGGACAAACAATTATGTCTAGAAAAAAGGCTTAGCCACGGTGCTCCTTTGAGGCAGGGATAGAAAAATTTGTCTCACTTACTTTGCACATGTTGTTGGGAGGGACTAGTCTTTAAAAAGGGATATCATGCTTGGAAGTGTTTGAGGGTCAGCAAAGGAGAAGAGCCACCTCAATGACATGAATTGCCCCAGGGACTGTAACAGTAGGCTCAAGTGTGTCAGAGATGATGAAGATGGCTCAAACTAGGGCAGGATTCATAGGACTGCTATCAGTTGTGTTCAGCTAGACAGCACTTAATAGCAAGAACCCTGGATATTGATTGAGGATCCAAATAAAATGAAATCCTGACAACTTCAGTCTTTTCTCCATCTATCATAATGTAGCCTATTGGCCTAGCTATGAAGTTGGTTTTATTTCTTGATGCTGAAATGTAATCCATAATGAACAGAGTAGATCTTTGACTAGAACAG